TAGGCCAGAAGACACAATAAGTTCTCACATAACATTTCCTAAAAAATATACTCAAACTTATAAAGTCTCATTTATATTAATATAACCAGGAAGTTTCCTATTTCTAAGTATTCAATAAATTCTGTCATAAAACTCATAAGAATATCTTCCCTAATTCTCTCATTCCTCTCAAATAATAATCCTTCCTTTGAGCCACCACAGCCTTTAATCTGTACTTTCTGACCACTTTGTACTTTCCACTGTAGTTATTTGAGTATAGAGCATATCTTCTCCATTGTCTTGATATTCCTTGAAGAAAGAATCTATTTTTTATTTATCCCCTATAGTGTTTAGTGTCAGCAAGAATTAAAATACAGGGTGTCCCAAAAGGCACTGTACATAGGGAAAAGGGGAAATTGTAGCTAAATGTACCTTAATTTACAAAATATTACAAAATGTTTCCTTCATATGGAAACGTTTGGGATACCTTGTATTTACTGAAATGAAATACTTAGAGTCTTGATGTAATAATTTGAAAATAGCTTTTTGGTTTCAAGGGACTAATGTAGCTTTTAAAATTTTCCAATCAGTGGGAAAATGTGGCTTCCAAAAGTGATTCCCCCACCTCAAGGAAATACATGTTCATTTTACCATGTCATTCTTACCAAGCAATTCAGTCTTGGTTGAAAAATAATAAAAAAGCATGATGAGTAAGTTAACCAATAAAATGGAGTAACAGCAGCAAATGGTTGAAATATCTAGAAACATCCAAATGCAACTTTCATAGTAAAGGTAGAAAGTTATTTAAAAAAAAAAAAAATCAGCTGCTTAAAAAAAATTGGGTTGTAAAAAAAACCCAGAAAACATAGGGAGAATCAATTTCTTTACACTTTAGCTTTGTCTAAAGAACATTAAATGAAATATAGCTCAAAATAAATACTCAGTCTTTCAAAAATACACCTGTGTGCACATTTGAAAAGTTTCTATTACATCATTTTAGAATATCAAAAAAGTTTGATGGATATATTAATCCTATTGTTCTTTAATTCTTAAAATTAGTTCAAGGGGGGAAAAAACACCTCATCTGGATTTAAAGGCCAAGACAAGCTAACATAAACTTATAACTACTACAAGAGAAAAAAAGGAAGAATGGCAGGAAGAGAAATCTACCTGGAAAGAGCAAGCAGTTCAAGTGAAAATTTGACTGGTCCAACAAGCCCCCATACCAGGGTCTCTATTATGTAATTAGAACACAAACAAATTATGTCCTCCCTAGGCTATTCTATGACCTGGAAATAAGTTTAAGTCGATATTCTTGATCACTGAACCAGGATTAATCATGACTAGCCCAGTGCAAGTAATTTGTGAAAAGCTGAAATACATGATAATTCATGAAAAATAAAAAGTGGCCTATTAAAATTCTGAAGCAGAAAAATATGCATTCTATGTTTTTCCTCAAAATTTTAAAAACTAGTTTAGATCAAAATTAAATTTTCTCTCATGTGTATACTTTAATTTTTAATTATTATAGGTACATAATAATTATATATCTTTATAGGGTACATGTGATGTTTTGATACAAGCATACAATATGAATTAATCAAACCAGAGTAATTAGCATATCCATCAAAGATCCATCAAAATGACAAAGATATGTTAGGCATTTAATATATCTTTGTATTAAGAACATTGCAATTCTAATCTTTTAGTTATTTTAAAGTATATACTAACTTACAGTTGTTTATAGCCACTTAGTTGTGCTATCAAATATTGTTCATTCTATCTAATCAACTATATTTCTGCACCATTAACCACCCCCATTTTATCCTCCCCTCCCCGCTACATTTCCCAACCTTTGGTAACCATCATTCTACTCTCTGTCTCCATGAAATCAATTGTTTTTAATATTTAGTTCCCATGTATGAGTGAGAACATGTGAGATTTGTTTTTCTGTGCTTGGCTTATTTCACTTAACATAATGTTCTCCAGTTTCATCAACGTTGTTGCAAATAGCAGGATTTCATTTTTTGTGGCTATGTAACATTCCATTGTGTATGTGTACTACAATTTCTTTATCCATTCATCTGTCTATGGATACTTAAGTTGATTACAAATCTTGGCTATTGTGAATAGTGCTCCAATAACCATGGGAGTGCGGATATCTTTTTGATACAATGAATTCCTATCGTTTGGATATATACCCAACAGTGGGATTGCTGGGTCAAATGGTAGTTCTATTTTCAGTTTTTTAAGGAACCTCCATACTGTTTTCCATAGTGGTTGCACTAATTTGTAACACAGTCCCACCAACAGTGTACAAGGGTTCCCCTTTCTCCACATCCTTGCCAGTATTTGTTATTGCCTTTTTGATAAAAGCCATTTTAACTGGGGTGAGAGGACATCTCATTGTAGTTTTGATTGGCATTACTCTGATGACTAATGATATTGAGCATTTTTTTAATGTCCCTGTTGGCCATGGTATGTCTTTTTTGTTGTTACCTTTCTATGCTTGGTTTATTTCACTTAATATAATATCCTCAAAGCTCATCTACATTACAACAAATAACAAGATTTCATTCTTTCTTATGGTTGAATAGTACTCCATTGTGTATATACACCACATTTTCTTTATCCATTCATCTGTTGATGGATATGTAGGTTGATTCCATTATATTGGCTATTGTAAACAGTGCTGTATGTCTTCTTTTGAGAAATGTCTATTCAGATCCCTTGTCCACCTTTTAATTGGGTTATTTAAATTTTTCCTATTGCATGTTGGAGCTCCTTATATATTCTAGTTATTAATCTCGTCAGACTGGTAGTTTACAAATATTTTCTCCCATTCTGTGGGTTATCTCTTCATTTTGTTGACTGTTTCCTTTGCTCTGCAGATGCTTTTTAGCTTGATGTGATCCCATTTGTCTAATTTTGCTTTGGTTGCCTGTGCTTTGAAGGTATTACTCAAGAAATCTTTGCCAAGACCACGATCTTGAAGAATTTTCCCAATGTTTTCTTTTAGTAGTTTCAGGTCTTAGATTTAAGGCTTTAAACCATTCTGATTTGGTTTTTGCATATAGTAAGAGATAGATAAGGGTTTCATTCTTCTGCATAGGGATATCCTATTTTCCCGCACCATTCATTGAAGAGACTGTCCTATCCCCACTGTATGTCCTTTGTCAAAGACACATCACTACAGATGTGTATATAATTTTAGACAAGGAATAAAACCAAATTGCTTTATCATTAGTGGAAACTTTCTCATGAAATAACTAGAGGATGTAAATTGTTGAAGTAGTATTTATTTATAACTATCAAAAGAATCAGATTTGTTTCCCAAGTCTAAGAAGTAAAAAAAATTTGATGAGAACAAGGCACCAGACAAAACTCAGTTGTAAATAAGATTGTTATTAACATCTTATTAAATGTGCTAATTCTAATTTTTTCTAGGTAACACCAAAATCCCATATTTGTTATTACAGAATATCTTGTGATTAAAATAGTATTACTGCCGGGCGCGGTGGCTCACGCCTGCAATCCTAGCTCTCTGGGAGGCCGAGGCGGGCGGATTGCTCGAGAACGGGAGTTTGAAACCAGCCTGAGCAAGAGCGAGACCCCGTCTCTACTATAAAAATAGAAAGAAACTAATTGGCCAACTAATATATATAGAAAAAATTAACCGGGCATGGTGGCGCATGCCTGTAGTCCCAGCTACTCGGGAGGCTGAGACAGAAGGATTGCTTGAGCCCAGGAGTTTGAGGTTGCTGTGAGCGAGGCTGACGCCACGGCACTCACTCTAGCCTGGGCAACAAAGCCACACTCTCAAAAAAAAAAAAAAAAAAAAAATAGTATTACTTTAAAATGAATTATTTTTTTCTCTTTTTAAAGCATGAAGGTTTTTTGTTTTTGTTCTTGTTTAAGAAACATGGTCTCACTGCCACCCAGGCTGGAGAGCAGTAGCACAATCATAGCTTACTGCAACCTCAAACTCCTGGGCTCAAACGATCCTGCCGCCTCAGTGTCCTGAGTAGCTGGCACTACAGGTGCACACCTCCACACCCAGGTAATTTTTTAAAAGTTTTTTGTAGACATGGAGTCTCGCTATGTATGAGGGGTATTTTTTTATAAAGAGATTTACAAGATTGTTTCTAACATATACTCCTAAACACCTCCAAGTCACTTGGGCAAGACTGACTCGGACAAGCAAAACTTTTGTGCTAGTAAAGCCTCCTAAATGCCTAGGCTCTCTGTCACATTCTGGCTGCCTTATTGCCACTGCCCTCACTGCTGCCCCCATTCTATACTATCCTCACAAGATAGTATAGAATATTAGTTTAAAATAAGTAAGTTATTTTAATGTTTTAATATAATTATGCTTCAAATAACCTTATTTTTTAATCATCCAGCCCAAAATATCATCAGCTGGTTTTTCTTAATGTTACTGTGGCTATCTTCTAATTATAGCAAGCTCTGATGTAAGCAATAATAATGCCGTTTAAAAAAAACTAGTTAAAAATTAAAACTACTATATAATTCCTTACCTATAATGATCTAATCACATGAAGTATATTTTCAAAGAATGAGGTCTCATTTTGCAACAGTCATAAAATGTTCAAGAAGGGGATTTTTACCTATTAAAGATAAGGAATTTCTTAACATAGGGTCATTGATCCCAAGAGATGTCAGGGATAAACTTCAGAGTATTTAATTTGAATTCTCTCAAATACAAAAAAAAACTATCCACAAGATTTTCTGAGGAGAGTCTGTAGCCTTTGTCAGTTTTCAAAGGGGGTCTGTCGGCCCAAAAGAGTTGCAGAAGTGATCTAACTGGATTGGGAGTTTTAAGCATGGTTTCATCGGTACATGCCTACCAACCGTGAGGTATCCATTGCAAGTAACTTGTTGCTGAGTAACACTCAAATTTGTGAACCATTTGCTTTTTGAAATATGTAACAGAGCAGAGTCAAGGTTATCTTTATAATAACATAACTTTCATTTGCTTGTACTTCTTTCTTGTATGACAGAGAACCAAACCCGTGGAAATTGCCCAGGATTCTGAGCACGTGTGTGGAAATGTGCCATGCACACAAACACCCTTCATCACACATAATCCAGCAGAAGAAAGTTTGAGGACTGCCAATTTGAACTAACCCCCTCATTTTACAGACGAGGAAACTTAGGCTCAGTTATGTTAAATGATTTGTTCAAAGTCACACAGGAGTCTGGCACTTCATTCAACAAAAACAGCGCTGGGATTGAAATGGATCCCTACATTGGCATTTTCTCAGTCTGGATTGTGGCTATAAAAAGGATGATTTTATACCTTGGTATTTGACAAAGTTCCGTCCTTGGTGTACTTTTCTCACTTTGAACATTCACCTTGAACAACCTCATCTGCTTCCCAGAACTTCACCTCTCTCTTCTCCTGTCATTAACTCACAGATCTCTATTTCTAGTCCTGTGAAACTGCTTGTGCTCCAGGTCTATATGCCCAGTTGCCCACTTTAAATCTCCTACTGCTATCTAAGTATCACAATCTTATGTTAAAAAATCAAATTCATATCGCCCACACATTGAGGAGATAACGGGGGAGGGGAGAGTGAGGGAGAGAGCAATTTTCGTCCCAGTTTTCTTTCTCTGTGCAAGCAACCTTGGAGTTTCTTTAACCTGACCTTTACTCTCCACATCATTCCTTGTGATTTTCCTTTCAGGCCAGTCTCTTTCTTTCCATACTGGAGACTACTGATTTATTTCAAGCACTCAATCTCTCTCCTGGAATATTCTAGTAATCTCTTTACCGTCAATCTTGCATCACTCAGTTTACTCTCAGTACTGCTGCCAAAGTAAGATTTTAAAAACACAAATCTGACCACATCATTCCACTTTCTATAAGTCCTTAAATGGCTCCCTATTTCCCACAGAATAAAGTCCAAATTTCTTAACACAGTATACAAATGTCCCCATGATAAAATCTTTACTATAAAATAACTATCTGCTTTATACTACAATGGAATGAGTACTTAAATTTGCAATTAAGTACTCCTAATTATAAATGATAACCATCAAAATTACTACACAGCTATACATATATTAATTGGTTAAACTGTGCTGTGCATTCTTGCCAGTGTGAAACTGTTCAATCATGTTTCAGGTAAGCTGGCTCATTAACTACCTTTCAGACTTGGCAAAGGTTTTACAATAATCTATCTCCTCTAGGTTCATAAGAAAGCCACATCACATTTTCCTCTAAGTATATTCTCACCCAAACCTCACTCAAAGCAGCAATGTCTAACATATCTTTAGGAGATAAAGGCTGGGAACCTAAAAAAAATTAACTTCCCCAATGATTTCTCTAACTACTACACCAGTATTTACAGTAGGCGACCTCTCTGATGACCCCAATGACCCCACCCTCCTAGTATTCACATTCTTCACAATCCCTTCTCACGTTGTGTCATGGCTGGTCTGAGAGAGCAATAGCATGTGACAAAAGTGATGGCACATTTACAAGATTAGATTATTTAAAAAGCTGTGTCTTCCATCTTGAGTCCTCCTTCTCCCTCATCTCCCCTTGTTCTGAGGGAAGCCAGCTGCCACATCTCAAGAACACTCAGACGGCCTTGCGGCTCCACAATCAGCTCATGAGGGACTAGGCATGCCAACAACCAAGAGCAAGCGTGGAAGCAGCTTCTCCACCCAGTCAAGCCTTGAGATAAACTAAAGCCCCAGCAGCAGCTTGCGGCAACCTCATGAAAGCGCCTCAGCCAGATGCACCCAGCTAAGCTGTGCTTGGAGTCCTGATGCAGAGAAACTGAGATAATAAATGTTTGTCTTAAGCTGCTAAGTTTTAGGGTGATTTGTTTGTTATGTAGCAATAGATAACTAATACAATATTTTGCGTGGTTTTTTTTAACATTAGAGTGCTTACTGTATGTTTTCTTACTAGAAATAACTTCAACCAACACAGTATATAATGTGTTCACTTTGATACATATAATTGGCACTGATTTCAAAAGATAATGTCCTAGTATTCTCAGGTGGCTGGGTCCCTCTGCCAAGGCATTATGCCTCAAGGTCAGGGTCACAATGCTCCTTCCTCATTAGTTTTCCACCTAAGTGACAGCCCTGGACACAAACCTGAAGAGTACTTAAGACTTGTTTCTCCCTTACTTTTTTACTTCAGTAACTCAATCTCTTCCCCAATCAGTGTCTGGTGGCTTAAACTGGGATAGCAGCACTTTTAAGCCAGGAGGCAACTTATAAAGGGAGTGGAGGAGGAGGTAGGGGAGTAGTTGAGCATGGCAAGCAACAACAGAATAGCCTTAGAAGGGAGGAGGGTTAGGAAGGGTCAAAGCCAGAAGCAATATACAAGGCAAGAGAGAGGGTCTGGTGAGAGTGGACTTTTGGTCCCTGACTTCTGAAAGTTTTTAGAGCAGCAAAGGTAGGAGCTGAAAGGCAGAGGTTCAGGTTGGTCTAAATACCCAATCATCCCTTGCAACTCTGCCCACCAGGAAAGGAAGCACATGATAAGGGAAAAAGGCTCTCCTTGACCAAACTATCTTTACTCATCTGCTATTATAGCCAGAAATTCCTCAAAACAACATTTCTCAAACTTGGGTAATATACCAACTTTTAGAGGGAAAAAAACCCAAATACTAAAAAGCAGAACCAAAAAAGTATTAGGATACCTGCTAAAAGGCAAGGAAGGGTGAGGGAAAGAAGTAGGCAAGTGATATGACTATAGGCTCCCAGAGTTACTTCTGGTACACACACATTTTAGCTGTAATTACAGACCAAGTCAGTTTCCTAAGAAAGAATATAATGGATAGGTATGGGTCCAGCAGTAAATGAAACAGAAGGTATCCATGACAATAACTCTGTAAGAAATTGTTCAGTTAGAAAACACAGAACTAGCCCAAGAATATATCATGAAATAGAGTCCCAAATTCCTAAACATACATGGTTCCCATTTCTGAAGATTGTAACTCAGCATTGAAGCCTGCTTCTTATTAGCAAAATTTCATTACATACAGAGTTTGGAGTTCTTATATTGGCACTTCCTCTACGGGTCAAATGTAACTTTATAATTCTGTCCCATAATAACTAGAAGAATGTGTAACTTTTGAGATTGAAAACATATTATAGAGAACATCAGAGTGAATCAATATATAAATAACCCTAAACATATTTTAACCTAATAATTTTATTAGTTTTATTGACTTTATAAAAATGATTCATTCTCACTGATAAAATTAAAAACTACTGAAACACTTCTCAAAAGTTAAATCACCACAAATCTGCCAACTCATAAACAACCACCACGAACATTGTAATGAACATCCTTCATACATAAAAGTATCCATCTCTTCAAATACATTCTTACATTAATTTGCTCAATCTTACATCTATACATGCTATGCTATACCCAGCTTATCTCCCTTGTGACATTTAAGCAAATAAAAATCATAATTGTTAATGGCTGCATTGTGTTCCAACATTGTATATATTAATAGTTACCAAAATTTGACCAGTCCCTTTCAAACACATTCAGGTTTTTTCTAGTTTACTAGTTTACAGATATGATTTTTATCCTTGTGCATATAAGGTTTCACATTTGTACTCTGTAGGTAAGTTCTTTGGAGTAAGATTACTAAGTCAAAGAATATAAACATATATGTGTGTATATGTGAACCTTCAGAAAGAGTGTATCAAGACGATATGCCTTTAAAGAGCAGCTAGAGCAAAGAGGCTATCTTTCACATCTTCTAAAGACAACAGTTAATAATGGGACAGTTTGTAAGGGCTGCATAATACTCTAATATTTAATGATTAGGGACAAGTGTTAAATAAACATTTTATTTTAGTAAAACAGGGTACAAAATTGTTTTTATACTTACTACTGTCCCAGGTTTGAACTCTAGTTATTAAAACTTTCTATGTATTCCTCCAAGGTCTTTTTCTTTACTTACTGGCTGGTTGTAAAAGATTCAAGACCCAGAGGATTCGAAGGTCCTGGGTGTTGGGAGCCACTAGATGGATAAGCCTGGATCCCAAGATAAACCCTATTCCACCCCACCTAATCCACACTAAACTGCACATAAGTGAAAAGTAAGCCACTGCATTAAGTCATTGAATTCTGGAATGTTTATAAGCATACAGCCTACCCTAATATAAAAAAGCTATGTCTGGGTGGTGGTTTATTCCTTATTTTTATTTACTAATTTGTTTCTGTATTTTCCAAATATCTTATGAGTTTATTTTTAGTCAGAAACAAACATTTAAAATAATAAATAGTGCTGAACGTACACAGTGTATATTATGGTAGTGTTTTCTTTAAATTTACATAAATTTTAAATCGCCAAAACATTATGATTTTTAAAATAAATATTATATGCAGTTCATTTCTTAAGAAGCTGACCTATGTGGCTGGTCACTACCTGCCTGTGCCACAAAATCTCCTTTTATGCCAGTGTCAAAGAAAAGGAGAAGTGTCAAAGAACAGCAGAAGCCTCGAGGTAAGACAGAAACGGTGGGCAAGTGATCTGTGAATGACTGTCTATCCGACCTTGGTAAAGTACAAGGAAATGTTTCATTTCCTAACCCTGTAAAATGAGAGAAAGCTGAACTAGATGACTTCTAAGGTCTATGAGCAATTCTTTCCAACTAGCATTTTCTTACTTTCTTATGTTGCACCCAATGCTCCCATAACTCTCCATTTGCCAGAAAACTCACCTGCTCACGCTCAAAAATTAGAATCTGACTATTTGTGAGAAGCCAAAAGTACTAGTCTGGTTAACCATGGCCCAGGTTGGGACTCAGATTAAAAAAAGAACTTGTATTATTTGTGGCTAAAGCAACAGTCGCGTGAAGAGGGATATTCTCCTTCTCTTAACCTAACTTCTAACTCCAGACAGCTAGTCATAACACAAATGTCTACTGCTGGGGAATGATCCGCACACCCTCTGTAAAACACTATTCCCATTCCTTAAAGGGCCAACAAGAATTTTAAAGATCACATATATGGCAGTACCTCAGAAAGTGAAAGCATCAATTTAAAAATGGAAACATGACAATCTTAAAAGGAAGATATACTTTTTAAACTATGAAAGGGGATGCTCACATGAGAAATAACATGAAGAAAGTATAAAGAATTCCAAGACTTATCCAGTTATAATAATGAAAATTGACTCTAAGGTACAATGCTGCCCCATTGTAGCTAAAACAAAACAAAACAAAAACGGAGGAACCAATGTAGAAAAAACTAAAAGAAAAGAGCGTGTGGGTCAGTCCATAGCCAAAGATAACAAGCTTTGATGGGGATGGCAGTGGCATGAGGGACAGAAAGGAAAAGAGAAGA